TCTGTTTAAGATGCAGATGCTACCACCTTTGTCAGCTTGCTTGATGATGATATTGTTATTATTTTTCAGTGTTAAAATTGCTTCTTTCATGTTTTTCGTTAGGTTGGGGTGTGCTATGTTCATTCTCTCATTTAGTACTGTGTCCGTTTCACTCTTTATCCTTTCAAAGAAAAGATTTAAATTTGCATTGTTGGATGCAGGAGGGTTCCAAACTGTGTCAAGTCTCCTCTTCATTGATGTTTGTCGGGGTGGTCCTCCATTGTCCTTAAAATGAACTCTCAGTAGCATATTTCTTTTTCATTTTGATATTGCATCTTTGAACATCTTTTCCATAACGTATTGGTCGTTTTGAATAAATCCCAACCCCCTGCTTAATACTTGCCTCTCCGCTTCAGTGAGGTCGTAGTCTGATTTGTTCGTAATCATTCGATTAATCATTTCCGCGGTGGCTCTTGTTTTCTCCACCCTAATCTTATAGTGAAACGATCCTCGGATGTTACACATATCAAACAAATCTTTCATTGTAATCGGAGTGAATGTCCTTGGTTCATCAGATGGTGTGAAAATTGATCCATTGTTCTAGAAAGTTATGGAGAAAGTCATTTAGCGTTGTAGGTGGTAAGCTATGGGTGGTTCATCAGTTCAGTGTCTCTATAGGTATATGTACACCCAGTAATTAGGTGAGTAGAGAGACAGCCCGCTACTTAGGAATTTAAAAATAACAAGCTTTATTATAACCCATAATAATGTGTGTATAAAAGTAATCTGTGTTATGTCGTTAAATATATATGTTATGAAATGTGTGTTATAAAATGTATAGTTGTAATAAAATGAATCGATGCATTCAAAAATTATAAATTGTGTAATAAATTAAATGTATACATCAGACACATCCTCGCATCGAACTTGGAACCTTAGACACCGCAGGCTGCGCATAATCCACTAAGCTACAAGAACTTGTACAATACGGACAAAATAACATATATAAACTAAAATAAAACAAGTATAAAAAAAAAAAAAAAAAAAAAAATTATTATAAGAAAAAAAAATAATAATAATAAAAAATATAATATTAAAATAAAACCTAAATTAAAAAACTAAAAAAGTAAATAAAAAGTATAATAGGTGGTGAGGTATGCCACTAAAAAATGGAGATAGAGACTACAGATGTAAACATGGTGAAGACTACAGATGTAGCATGGTGAATAGGCTGGTGATGTCTAGTCGAATGGTCAAATCTAAATGGATAATCGCTCACCCTTGTAACACTCTCTCTTGGGTCACTCAAAAGAAAGTAATCAAAAAAAGAACAAATATTTGATATACTGATTTTAGAGGCTGTTGATGTCTACAGGTGTGATGGTGTAGTGCGTTAGTATGTACCGTTTGGTTGTCTAGTATGGTCTCGTTATAACTTCGTTCACATTAAAATCGGGTGAATAGAAAGCTAAACACACTCACTTCTTGCGCTTATGGGCTAGCACATCAGAGCCAGACGTAAGACCTACAGAATGGAATTCAATTGATCGAATGCACACATTAGTCACCATAGGCCACAAGCCATCACTCTTAGCCAAAAGAGCTACTGCCCCGTGCTGGTGTGGAATGATGTGCTATGAAGTGAGATTTCAGATCCGAGCACATAGTCAGCGAGCGCTGATCCGACGTGCATTGCGGAGCTTCCGATTGAACGTGTGCGTGAGTGTCAGCGTAGTCATTGGTTATTGAGCGCCGTAACCACATCCAGCGGGATAGCCTAATGTCCGTTTTGTCGTTGTGACCTACATTGGAAAAAGTCGGGGCTCACCAGCCACAAAGAATAAATTTTTTGCTTATGCGACACAATGATCGCAAAAAGTGACCAACAGAGCCGTCCAGTTTCGTAGACCTGTATTTCGTATTATTATTTGCTATTTAAATTAAAATAAAGAGAGCAAAAAGAATGCTTTGAATAAAATCTAAAGAAAATAATTAAAAGAAAAACAGCAGAGCAAACACTTCATTTCATTTCTAGGAAAAATAATTACAATGACAGCAAAAAAAATAAAAAATGTTTTAAATAAATATTTAACAAATTAACTTAAATAAAAATGCAAATTACACTTTTTTAAAATTATTTAACAAGATTAACAACAAAAATAGCAACAAAAAATACAACACTTAAATTCTAAATTAAATAATTACATTAGAAACAGTGAAATGAATGTTTTATTTCACTTCACTTCAATTCTTTAACAATTTTTTATAAAATTGTTAAAGAATTGAAGTATAATATAGTAATAATAAGTAAAAATATATATGTATAAAAAGTTTTTACAATTTTTTATAAAAGTGTTAAAAACATAGAAGTGTTTTCATGTTATTACAAACATTAAAGCATTTTTACAATTTTTTTAACAAAGTGTTTGATAAACAAAAAAGATTTGTTGCAATATTTAAAAGAAGTGCTTTTAATTTTTTAACAATACTTTTTTATGTGTTTGCCAAATTTTTTTCAAAATCTGTAAATATTTACATTTACTTTCATTAAGCATTCCTATAACTTTGAAAACAGTTGAAAATGGAATTAATTATATATTATATACATTATAATAACTATTATATAATTACAATAGAAGTAGAAGCAAAAACTGGAAATAAATCTTCATAACCAATAGTAAACAGAGTAAGGAATTCATAGAGAGTAGATGAAAGAAGGAAATCTTTGTTTCTAAAAATGAATATATATATACAAATATATATATATATATATATATATGTGTGTGTGTGTATATATATATATATATATATATATATATATATATATATATATATATATATATATATATATATTTGTATATCTATTATATATATATATATATATATATATATATATATATATATATATATATATATATATATATATATATATATATATTTGTATATTTATATAATTATTTAACCTAACAATTATTTTCTGTGAATCCTTAACTTTGTAGATCCTTTCAATCAATTTCTGCAATGATTCAGTGATATTTAATTCCAAAATATTTAGATAAGTATGCAAAGGTGTTTTTGTAGGTTGGTCGCATTTTTCTAACATTTCTAGTCTAACTTGTCCCATAACAACCTGATCCAGTTTAAATCAGGCCGCTGAGGAGACCATTCCATACATTTTAGCTCTTTTCGTTTTTCTTTTGGCTGCAATATGATTTATAAAGATTTTTTTTTTGATGATTCAAACATCTTTTTAAAGGCAGTAAACAGATTTTTTCCTCCATTTAAAATTTAAAAAAAAAAGAAGTTTTTTAAAAATCACTTTTTTAAAAAAACTTCAACTTTCTATTTTTTTGACCTTTAAATACAGTATTCTTAACATAACAGTACCATTAAAATATTTGGGCAAAATCTGATTATAACCTAAAACCTATTCTCTTGATGTGTGTATAAGTTTCTAATAAAATATTTCTATACACCCATACTAAATTAAACAATTAGTTAAATAAATAATTTAAATAAATAACTTAAAGAAAATACAATATTATAATACTATTACTATTTTCTTTTTAATGATATTAACCTGCCAAAGCTCACAAGGGCCACTACTGTCGACTTGTTTACTTTCATTACAACCATCTCTTAATTCTGTAACTCCAAATCTTGAAAAACAAGGCAGCTGCGCAGAAAAATAAGTTGAGCATAATTACATTAAAACTAATTCTGCATCAGAACGCAGTTACATTTAATTATATGTATTCCTTTTTGATTCAGAATTAAGTAATGTGATTCAATAAATGCATTTATGTTTTTATTACCAAATTTTATTTTTATGTCATATCATGGATCAATGTCATATCAAACAGCAGTGAGACAGATATTAGGATTAGTCAGTTTGTTTAACATAATATAAATATCTATATATAATAGTTTAACTTATAAAATATAAATAAACTTTAATTGACACTTTTAAAATAATCAAAAAAATGTGAATAAATTTAAATTAAAAAAAGTAAGTATATGGGTCATTCCATGCCAAGTGGTGCAAAGGTCCCTTATGGACCATCTCAGATTTTATTGAAATTTTTTGATTTTGTACATATATATGTGAAAAGCATGTTTTGAAAATTTTAGATCAATATATAATATGGTTCTTGAGAAAACGCTATTTAAGTAGTGGGCTATTATGCATAAAATTTCACTCTACAAGAAAAAAGGTTTTTTTTGTCATTTTTATCAGCCAACAACTCTTGAACAAATTAGTTTCATGCTTCAGTTATTATTAGTTAGCAAGAGTGCTGTGGATACATTAGGAAACAAAAAAAATTTCAGTTCTGGCATATTAACTTTTTCCATAATGGCGGTCTAAAGTTGAGATTTTTGTTTTTAAAATAATTTTTTGTGTGATTTTAATGATCTTAACCTTGAAAACTAATTAAAAGATTAATAAAAATCAAATTGCCTGCTGATCTACATGTGGTGAATAAACATTTTTAAAAAAATCAGTTGATTAAAGAGCTGCATTTAAAAGTTATAGGTCTCCTAAATGAGTCAGATTAAGATTTTCGTAAAATTGATCTGCGATGCAAAGCATCTGTTACCTAAGATGGCACTTTTTTTTTCATAAAAATTTTTATACGCATCAATTAAAGACTGTTAATTAATAAAAACCATAAAATTTAATGGGCGCTTATTTATAACCCCAAAAGGTAGTCTCTAAAAGTAAGGTAAATTTTCCATAAAATTCTGAAATTGACATAATAAATAAATGCATTGAATTATATAATGTTATTTATTATGAAATATCAATTAAAAAAATATCAATGTTTATAGCCTTATAATCCCTTTAATTAAAGAACTTTTAAATCCCAATAGATAAAGTCCCCTCCCCTCTGTCCCCTCCCCTCTTTATAATACAATATTTTTTTAAATGATAAACAAACAAAATGTTTATAAGAAAATAAACAAAATTAATAAAATTTACAAAAAGTTAAATTTCTCAAATAATAAAATAATCTCATTGATTTCTTTTAAGTCAATACTATAAAATCTGCAATCTCTTAAAGTCCAGTCAGTTTGACTGGACTTTAAGAGATTGCACTTTGCATAAAATATGCATCAGAGGTACCCAACAAAGATCATCTCTGCATGGCCACGTGAACTTGTTACATAAAGACTTTTTCATGAATTTCATATTAAGATCTTGATACTCTTCTGAAATACTAAGAATATTTCCTAAATACCATTGAGCACCGTAAACGCAGGCCACATATTCTCCTGGTGAGTAACTTGAAATTTTATTAATAAAAATTCTGCAAGTAGAAAAATCCACATTAGTGCAAATAATATCAAATGAGACTCTAGATATTCTTAGAAGATATTCTTTTGACGTGTTAAACACCAGCTGTACATTTTGCTTGGTGTGTCAATAGGATCGTTTAGTGATTGTAGACTGGCTCGTGCAACAAAATGTTTCACTGTTCCACCAACACCATCACAAGGGCTTTTACCATGCAATGTTGCTAAAAAGTGCCACTCTGCAGTCATGTCAAAATCGTGTTTATGGTAGCATAAGTTGATAAAAATTTTGTAATTTTTATATTGTGATGCAGCTCCATCACTTAAATAGATAATGTGTTCAAATGTTTGTAATTGTTTAAGTTTATCAATAACATTACCAATAAAGCAATGAACAGCATCTGTTCCATGTTTCAGATGATCTGATATAACACAATAACTTTGACTATCAAGTTTTCCATCTTTTTTAAAATACGCAACAAAGGGGTGCACAGTTGCTTGGCTGCTATTCCAGTGAAAACCTTGCACTGCATCCTGTTTTAGAAAACTATAGTTTCTACAAAGTCAAGAAGAACCAAAGCTTGATTTTCTTTTAAATTAGTTTTCAAATGTTGGTAGTAGGTGGCTTGACTTTTGGATATAAAATGATGCTCTCATAATCTAACTGTTCATAAACCATTTCAATAAATTCATCTAAAGGTAGAGTTGCTGGTACTAAAGTACATTGGTAATTTGATTTTTGCCATTGATAAAAGTTAACTTCACTAATTTCATTTTCTGTAAACAAAGTGTCAATGTAGTCTAGCAAAACCTTTTTAGCAGGACATTTATCGCAGCTATGCAGCATACAATCTCTATTTTCAATGCTACAAACCATTAATTTCAATAAAATTTTGTAATCAGCAATTCCAGGAATTTTCTGCACAAGGAGCTTTACATTTTGATGGTACTGGCAAACACAAACTGCATGCAGACCAGAAGCACCACCCACAGGAATGCACCACTTGGGCCTTAGCTCACAAAATTTTGAAAATCCAACTTTAAGATAATTATATTTCTTTTTAAACTCAATATGTAGCTCTTTCATATTGACTAGTAGAAGTCACTTTTGGATATGTTGCTTTATACTATCTATTTTAACTGAAACAAACTCTTTTTTCCTTGAATATTCATCGCATTCATAGAAATGAACAACATCTGTAATTACATCTTCGCTTAGTTTTCTACCCAATTTTTGAGAAGGTTTTGATAGTATTCCACTTTTTTTCCTTAATTTTCTAGCTTGTACTACAGATCTTTTTGAAGTCAAAAAAAAACTTCTGAGTTTTTTCTATTGACCAACTGTCTGGAGTGAGTGTAAGAAGTGTGATTTTTTCAGAATTTGACAATGTTTTTTCAAATTTTGACTTAATTTGAGTCATAATATTGTCAAATCTGTGTTTGTTTTTTTCAAACATTTTTTTGAGGGTGATTCAATTCCACCAAGTGCAGCTATTTCTAAACCTAGCACATTGGCAACAGCCTTTTGTGTATGAGCTCTTACGCTATCAATTTTACGCTTTCCATATGCAACTCTATCTTTTTTTAAAACAAGTTTGAGAGGTGAGCATTCAAAACTTGCAATACTTGAATTAAGATCTTATTTTAATGTATGGTTGTCAACATAAATTTCTTTTTCTTGGACTTCATTTTCTTTTGTATTATGTTTGCAATTCAGAACTTTTCTGCAACTAGTGCAAATTTTTTGACCAGGTATATAGACTGATAACTCTAAGAGAATCTAAAAAATAACGGAAATAATTATTAAATATTGTTTTTTTTATTTATTTAGTGTTATTAAAGTATTTTTATTAAATTAAGATATTAAATATTGAAACTTACTTTTCACTTTTTTTGCGTGCTTGTTCAACGGATTACAACAATACCTGCGATGTTCATTCTCATACCTCGACAAGTAAACTTTCTCGTGATAGCTACAAATAAAATCTATGGGATTTATTTTGCTTCTCAAAGAAATAAGCTCTTGGTTTAGTGTAGACAGTTCTTGGTAGCATTTACTTTTTTTAGATAGATAGCACTGTTCATTTAATGCTTTACCAATACAGCAAGTAGAAAGCTCAGGCATATTACTTATTATTAATTAGTTCTAAAATACAACAATTCATTAGTACTTTTTAGATTGACATACTAGTAATATAGAATTAAATGAAACAATAACTTAACTTTTAAAAAGTAATAATTTTTTATGGAAAATTTACCTGACTTTTAGAGACTACCTTTTGGAGTTATAAATAAGCGCCCATTAATTTTTTTGGTTTTTATAAACTAACACTCTTTAATTGATGCGTATAAAAAATTTTATGAAAAAAAAAGTGCCATCTTAGGTAACAGATGCTTTGCATCACAGATCAATTTTACGAAAATCTCAATCTGACTCATTTTGGAGACCTATAACTTTTAAATGCAGCTCTTTAATCAACTGATTTTTTTAAAAATATTTATCCACCACATGTAGATCAGCAAGCAATTTGATTTTTATTAATCTTTTAATTAGTTTTCAAGATTAAGATCATTAAAATCACAAAAAAAATTATTTTAAAAACAAAAATCTCAACTTTAGCCCACCATTATGGAAAAAGTCAAGATGCCAGAATTAAAATTTTTTTCTTTTTCCAAAGTATTTACAGCACACTTGCTATCTTATAATAACTGAAGTATAAAACTAAATTGTTCAAAAGTTATTAGCTGTTAAAAATAATAAAAAAAATCTTTTTTCTTGTAGAGTTAAATTTTATGCAAAATAGCCCACTACTAAAATAGCATTTTCTCAAGAACCATATTAGATGTTGATCTAAAATTTTCAAAACATGCTTTTAACATATATATATACAAAATAAAAAAATTTCAATAAAATTTGAGATGGTCCATGAGGGACATCATTAAAATTTGCACCACTTGGCACGGAATGACTCATATACAAACAAAAATTATTTTAAAAAAATTACTTCTTTGGAGGAACGAAAATAGAAGCAAGCAATGCTATGGTCATCCCAAAAACAATAATGAAGTTTTGAATAAATATTTTAAATGTATCAAAAAAGGAACCTAAAAATTTTATAAATTAATAATTAATAAGATAATTTTCACTCATGTACTAAATAGATATAAAATTTTAGCTCAGGTAACAAGCATAAAAAATAAAATCAAGTATAGTCAAGCATAAAAAATAAAATGTGAAAAATCATTATCAATTTATTTATATTTGTTTAACCATATTTTGATTGCTTCTGTACTTTTTTTTATGTGCTTCTATATTGCAGAAATTAAAAAGTAACATCACTTGAAAATTAGAAAGTTTTGAACTATGGGTACTTTTATTTTCTTTCAATTTTTTGTGCTATTGCATGTTACAAAAAAAGATTCACAAACTTTTTTGTAAACCTAAACAGTTACAAAGATATTTGAACTTTAATACTGAATTTTTTTGTTCTGGTTTTGACCTGGTTTTTAAAATGACTTGGTTTTTACAATATTTTGAAATCAATTTTTCCCTAATAAAATGAGAAATGGCAAAAATATGAAAATAAAAACTCATATTTTTAATGCAGCTTTTACTAAATGTATTTTAAATGCTAAAATTTATTTAAAAAAATAATATAAATTAATCAACTTTTATAGATTTTCAAATAAATTCCCTAAAACTCAACTTTAAGGCTGAATATCTCATAAAACCCCTGGTTAATTTTTTTAGTTTTTTATTTTAATAGTTTTAGTCACAAATAATCTTAGTTGTCAGAAAAAATCAAACAGAAACATATAAAAACTATAATTTCAAAGGTACTTCACTCTTTTAAGAAATATAAAAAATTGTCAATAGAATTAAAAACTTTTTTTAAAAGGAGCATGTTAAAAAAGAAATTAAAAATCTTATCATCTAGTGAAGTATTTTTTTGAAAACTTTATAATCCTTACCTAAATAGAAATCAAAATTAATGATCGTAACTAGTGAAAGGCACATCCTGTTTTGTTTTTATATAAAAACTGACCAAGTGTCTTACTGATGAGTGTTTGTTTATTAAATTTTGGCAATTATAAAATAAAAAATTAAAAAATAATAAATAAAAAATTATAAATTAAAAGTTTATAAAAAGGTAAAGAATTACATTAACTGGTAAAATTTTATTATAAATATATATATATATATATATATATATATATATATATATATATATATATATATATATATAATATATATAATAGTATATATATATATATATATATATATATATATATATATATATATATATATATATATATATATATATATATATATATATATATATATATATATATACATATATCAGAGCTGGAGACTCGAGTCAACCAACTTGAACTCGAGTCCAACTTAAGTCACACCAGTGACTCAACTCAAGACTCGACTTGGGCTTTACCCTGAGACTTGCGACTTGACTCGAGACTTGCTAATTTCGGCTTAGCGACTTTAAAGTTATTATTTTCCGTCTCTTCAAAAATGGAGCAATTCATCTACTATTTTAATTAAACTATTTTTTAACTATTTTTTATTTTTGAATGTTTTTATTTTAACTTACGTTTAACTGGTTTGTAGTCTAAGCGAGATCCAAAGAAAAATGACTGACTCCTTAGCTATTTTATTAGTTGTTTTTTTTTTTACTTTTAAAGCTACTTTAGTAAATAAAGTAAAACTATTATCATGCTGTATTTTATAATTGTAAGTTGACTGTTTGAATGTAGCTACCAGAGCCATCGCAAGGTTCCCCCATGCCCCTATTGTAAGAGGAATTTTGTGGTTTTTATGACAGGTTTTGGAAGGGGCCTTCGAACTCCTAGCCGCGTCACTAATAGCCACTGCATGCACGGGAATCTTGAGACTTGACCTCAGTGACTTGATACTTGACTTGAAACTTGCTCCAAAGCGACTTGAAAACAGCTCTGATATATATATATATATATATATATATATATATATATATATATATATATATATATATATATATATATATATATATATATGTATTAACATAGTCTTGGGTACTAGAATTCAGACTTTAATTTTGCACAGATTCCTTTAATGTAAACTTTTATTTATTATGAATTTAGTTGTTTTCAAAAATTAGCTTGTTGTTTGGACATTAAGCATATATCAAAGAAATACTGGATCATTTTTCTAATATAACCTCTCACCTTTAAAAACCTTTTTTCTTACTACCTGACAAATTTCAATAAAAAAAGCATACCCAGACATCCCTACATATATTTCAATAAAGAAATATTTTCTTTTTGTCTGCTAATGTTTTTTTTTCAGTGTTAATTCAACATTACAAATTAAAACTCAATTATGAAAAAAACCTAGGATTGAGTTGACGTTTTAAGTAAAATAAGAAAAGCCCAAAAAGTGTAACTGATGTAATATTTTTATTTTTTAATAAAAAAAAAAATTCTAATAATGTTTAAAATTAGTATTAATATTAATGTTTATTTGATGAAGATGAGTAAAAAATAATTTACAAGTTATTTTTTGGTCTCTAAAATTGTTTGAATTAAAATTTATTATTTATTAAAATATTTTCTTTTTTAATTTTTGTTATTATCTTATGTAGATGTTTATGTTTATCTTATCTTTGCTAATGTCTACTAATATTATTGTTTAGTAAGTATCATGGTTATAAAATGTTCAAATTTAATTAGTTTAATTAGGCCTGTTAGTACACTTATATTATGGTTTCTTCATTTTATTATTAGTTGTAATTGTGTAATTACAACTAATAATAAAATGTAATTTTTTCAAAATCAAATATGTGGAAAGGAGCTGTTTGGAATGAAGATTTACAAGAAGAAGTAATTCTACCTAATTGGATTAGTGATAAAACTGTCAGCTTCCAGGTACCAAAGAACTGACTGTACTAAAATGCAGAGAAGAATTGGCTTAAGTTTATATATAATAAAAACTAAATTCTCTTCAGGTATTACACCTATATATTACAATTATTATTTTTTAAATAATGTGGTAAGAAGAGTTATTTTGTTGATACAAAATATATAGTTATTTGTATAACTATTTCAATTCCAAAAGAAAGCAAACAGTATTGTGAAAATTTTAAATTCACAACTACAAAAGAAAAATGTGATAATAAAAATGTTGACAAATGGATGCAAGATTTGCACACAAGTGGAAACTTGAATACAAATTTTCCATTTTTTTACAGATAAATTAATTACAGTTAATTGGTGGAACATCTTCTAAAGATAGAATACACAAAATTAAGCTGAGGTAATCAAAAACAGTATTGGACTCTTACCTTATTTATAATCAGGGTGTCCACAGCTTCTCTAAAATCCTCTAAAGTCCTCTTTTTTTAAAAACTAATTAAAGTACATGGAATTGTAAAAAATTGCTTTAGCAAATGCATGCTATTTAACATAAAAAATGACATTATTTGATCTCTGTCCAAGCCTCATAAGTGTATAAACATGGGCGTTAAACCATTAATAAATAGCCAAATAAAATTTATTATAAAAATTTTATGTGGCTACCTCGAAAATTATTTTTCAATGCTAGAAATGTTTTATATTTTGATTATAAATTTATTTTGAAAAAAGGTTGTTTAATTTAAATTAAATATTTGAAAAAGTTATTAATACCAACTAACAGTTATATTATTTTTTTAAAATTCAGAGTATTTTCGAAAAGTTATATGGTCTGTATATATATATATATATATATATATATATATATATATATATATATATATATATATATATATATATATATATATATATATATATATATATAACATATATATAATAAAAATTCAGAGTATTTTCGAAAAGTTATATGGTCTCCACGGAAATGAAGGGCAAAGGTTATATATATATATTATATATATAACATTTTCCACATTTGCCCTTCATTTCCGTGGAGACCATATAACTTTTCGAAAATACTCTGAATTTTTATTATATATATGTTATATATATATATATATATATATATATATATATATATATATATATATATATATATATATATATATATATATATATATATATATATATATATATATATATATATATATATATATATATATATATATATATATATATATATATATATTATATATATATATACATATATATAAATATATATATATATATATATATATTTTATATATATATATATATATATATATATATATATATATATATATATATATATATATATATATATATAT